CCCTGAGTCGGGGGGAGGGAGACTCAAGGGGAGGAGGTGATGCAGACCCAGAGTCAGGGGGGAGGGAGACTCAAGGGGAGGAGGTGATGCAGACCCTGAGTCGGGGGGGAGGGAGACTCAAGGGGAGGAGGTGATGCAGACCCTGAGTCAGGGGGGAGGGAGACTCAAGGGGAGGAGGTGATGCAGACCCTGAGTCAGGGGGGAGGGAGACTCAAGGGGAGGAGGCGATGCAGACCCTGAGTCGGGGGGGAGGGAGACTCAAGGGGAGGAGGTGATGCAGACCCTGAGTCGGGGGGGAGGGAGACTCAAGGGTAGGAGGTGATGCAGACCCTGAGTCAGGGGGGAGGAGGGAGACTCAAGGGGAGGAGGCGATGCAAACCCTGAGTCGGGGGGGAGGGAGACTCAAGGGGAGGAGGTGATGCAGACCCTGAGTCAGGGGGGAGGGAGACTCAAGGGGAGGAGGTGATGCAGACCCTGAGTCGGGGGGGAGGGAGACTCAAGGGGAGGAGGCGATGCAGACCCTGAGTCGGGGGGGAGGGAGACTCAAGGGGAGGAGGTGATGCAGACCCTGAGTCGGGGGGGAGGGAGACTCAAGGGGAGGAGGTGATGCAGACCCTGAGTCGGAGGGGAGGGAGACTCAAGGGGAGGAGGTGATGCAGACCCTGAGTCGGGGGGGAGGGAGACTCAAGGGGAGGAGGTGATGCAGACCCTGAGTCTGGGGGAGGAGGGAGACTCAAGGGGAGGAGGTGATGTACACCCTGAGTCAGGGGGAGGAGGGAGACTCAAGGGGAGGAGGTGATGCAGACCCTGAGTCAGGGGGGAAGGAGACTCAAGGGGAGGAGGTGATGCAGACCCTGAGTCAGGGGGATGAGGGAGACTCAAGGGGAGGAGGTGATGCAGACCCTGAGTCAGGGGGAGGAGGGAGACTCAAGGGGAGGAGGTGATGCAGACCCTGAGTCGGGGGGGAGGGAGACTCAAGGGGAGGAGGTGATGTAGACCCTGAGTCAGGGGGAGGAGGGAGACTCAAGGGGAGGAGGTGATGCAGACCCTGAGTCGGGGGGGAGGGAGACTCAAGGGGAGGAGGTGATGCAGACCCTGAGTCAGGGGGGAGGGAGACTCAAGGGGAGGAGGTGATGCAGACCCTGGGTGGGGGGAGGAGGGAGACTCAAGGGGAGGAGGTGATGCAGACCCTGAGTGGGGGGAGGAGGGAGACTCAAGGGGAGGAGGTGATGCAGACCCTGAGTGGGGGGGGAGGGAGAGTCAAGGGGAGGAGGTGATGCAGACCCTGAGTCAGGGGGGAGGGAGACTCAAGGGGAGGAGGTGATGCAGACCCTGGGTGGGGGGAGGAGGGAGACTCAAGGGGAGGAGGTGATGCAGACCCTGGGTGGGGGGAGGAGGGAGACTCAAGGGGAGGAGGTGATGCAGACCCTGAGTGGGGGGGGAGGGAGAGTCAAGGGGAGGAGGTGATGCAGACCCTGAGTCAGGGGGGAGGGAGACTCAAGGGGAGGAGGTGATGCAGACCCTGAGTGGGGGGGGAGGGAGAGTCAAGGGGAGGAGGTGATGCAGACCCTGAGTCAGGGGGGAGGGAGACTCAAGGGGAGGAGGTGATGCAGACCCTGAGTCGGGGGGGAGGGAGACTCAAGGGGAGGAGGTGATGCAGACCCTGAGGCAGGGGGAGGAGGGAGACTCAAGGGGAGGAGGTGATGCAGACCCTGAGTCGGGGGGGAGGGAGACTCAAGGGGAGGAGGTGATGCAGACCCTGAGTCAGGGGGGAGGGAGACTCAAGGGGAGGAGGTGATGCAGACCCTGAGTGGGGGGAGGAGGGAGACTCAAGGGGAGGAGGTGATGCAGACCCAGAGTCAGGGGGGAGGGAGACTCAAGGGGAGGAGGTGATGCAGACCCTGAGTCAGGGGGAGGAGGAAGACTCAAGGGGAGGAGGTGATGCAGACCCTGAGTCAGGGAGGAGGGAGACTCAAGGGGAGGAGGTGATGCAGACCCTGAGTCAGGGGGGAGGAGGGAGACTCAAGGGGAGGAGGTGATGCAGACCCTGAGTCGGGGGGAGGGAGACTCAAGGGGAGGAGGTGATGCAGACCCAGAGTCAGGGGGGAGGGAGACTCAAGGGGAGGAGGTGATGCAGACCCTGAGTCGGGGGGGAGGGAGACTCAAGGGGAGGAGGTGATGCAGACCCTGAGTCAGGGGGGAGGGAGACTCAAGGGGAGGAGGTGATGCAGACCCTGAGTCAGGGGGGAGGGAGACTCAAGGGGAGGAGGCGATGCAGACCCTGAGTCGGGGGGGAGGGAGACTCAAGGGGAGGAGGTGATGCAGACCCTGAGTCGGGGGGGAGGGAGACTCAAGGGTAGGAGGTGATGCAGACCCTGAGTCAGGGGGGAGGAGGGAGACTCAAGGGGAGGAGGCGATGCAAACCCTGAGTCGGGGGGGAGGGAGACTCAAGGGGAGGAGGTGATGCAGACCCTGAGTCAGGGGGGAGGGAGACTCAAGGGGAGGAGGTGATGCAGACCCTGAGTCGGGGGGGAGGGAGACTCAAGGGGAGGAGGCGATGCAGACCCTGAGTCGGGGGGGAGGGAGACTCAAGGGGAGGAGGTGATGCAGACCCTGAGTCGGGGGGGAGGGAGACTCAAGGGGAGGAGGTGATGCAGACCCTGAGTCGGAGGGGAGGGAGACTCAAGGGGAGGAGGTGATGCAGACCCTGAGTCGCGGGGGAGGGAGACTCAAGGGGAGGAGGTGATGCAGACCCTGAGTCTGGGGGAGGAGGGAGACTCAAGGGGAGGAGGTGATGTAGACCCTGAGTCAGGGGGAGGAGGGAGACTCAAGGGGAGGAGGTGATGCAGACCCTGAGTCAGGGGGGAGGGAGACTCAAGGGGAGGAGGTGATGCAGACCCTGAGTCAGGGGGATGAGGGAGACTCAAGGGGAGGAGGTGATGCAGACCCTGAGTCAGGGGGAGGAGGGAGACTCAAGGGGAGGAGGTGATGCAGACCCTGAGTCGGGGGGGAGGGAGACTCAAGGGGAGGAGGTGATGTAGACCCTGAGTCAGGGGGAGGAGGGAGACTCAAGGGGAGGAGGTGATGCAGACCCTGAGTCGGGGGGGAGGGAGACTCAAGGGGAGGAGGTGATGCAGACCCTGAGTCAGGGGGGAGGGAGACTCAAGGGGAGGAGGTGATGCAGACCCTGGGTGGGGGGAGGAGGGAGACTCAAGGGGAGGAGGTGATGCAGACCCTGAGGCAGGGGGAGGAGGGAGACTCAAGGGGAGGAGGTGATGCAGACCCTGAGTGGGGGGGGAGGGAGAGTCAAGGGGAGGAGGTGATGCAGACCCTGAGTCAGGGGGGAGGGAGACTCAAGGGGAGGAGGTGATGCAGACCCTGAGTGGGGGGGGAGGGAGAGTCAAGGGGAGGAGGTGATGCAGACCCTGAGTCAGGGGGGAGGGAGACTCAAGGGGAGGAGGTGATGCAGACCCTGAGTCGGGGGGGAGGGAGACTCAAGGGGAGGAGGTGATGCAGACCCTGAGGCAGGGGGAGGAGGGAGACTCAAGGGGAGGAGGTGGACTCAAGGGGAGGAGGTGATGCAGACCCTGAGTCGGGGGGGAGGGAGACTCAAGGGGAGGAGGTGATGCAGACCCTGAGTCAGGGGGGAGGGAGACTCAAGGGGAGGAGGTGATGCAGACCCTGGGTGGGGGGAGGAGGGAGACTCAAGGGGAGGAGGTGATGCAGACCCAGAGTCAGGGGGGAGGGAGACTCAAGGGGAGGAGGTGATGCAGACCCTGAGTCGGGGGGGAGGGAGACTCAAGGGGAGGAGGTGATGCAGACCCTGAGTGGGGGGAGGAGGGAGACTCAAGGGGAGGAGGTGATGCAGACCCAGAGTCAGGGGGGAGGGAGACTCAAGGGTAGGAGGTGATGCAGACCCTGAGTCAGGGGGGAGGAGGGAGACTCAAGGGGAGGAGGTGATGCAGACCCTGAGTCGGGGGGGAGGGAGACTCAAGGGGAGGAGGTGATGCAGACCCAGAGTCAGGGGGGAGGGAGACTCAAGGGGAGGAGGTGATGCAGACCCTGAGTCGGGGGGGAGGGAGACTCAAGGGGAGGAGGTGATGCAGACCCTGAGGCAGGGGGAGGAGGGAGACTCAAGGGGAGGAGGCGATGCAAACCCTGAGTCGGGGGGGAGGGAGACTCAAGGGGAGGAGGTGATGCAGACCCTGAGTCAGGGGGGAGGGAGACTCAAGGGGAGGAGGTGATGCAGACCCTGAGTCGGGGGGGAGGGAGACTCAAGGGGAGGAGGCGATGCAGACCCTGAGTCGGGGGGGAGGGAGACTCAAGGTGAGGAGGTGATGCAGACCCTGAGTCGGGGGGGAGGGAGACTCAAGGGGAGGAGGTGATGCAGACCCTGAGTCAGGGGGGAGGAGGGAGACTCAAGGGGAGGAGGCGATGCAGACCCTGAGTCGGGGGGGAGGGAGACTCAAGGGGAGGAGGCGATGCAGACCCTGAGTCAGAGGGGAGGGAGAGTCAAGGGGAGGAGGTGATGCAGACCCTGAGTCAGGGGGGAGGGAGACTCAAGGGGAGGAGGTGATGCAGACCCTGAGTCTGGGGAGGAGGGAGACTCAAGGGGAGGAGGCGATGCAGACCTTGAGTCGGGGGGAGGCAGGCGTCTCCGTGGGGTCTGGGGCAGGTGCCCCCTCCCAGCCAAGGGGCACAGGGACCTGGCTCTCAGCATCAGGGAGCAGGCTTTCTCTTGGAGATGTAGCGGTTAAAGGTCCAGCGGCAGCTCCGGCCTGAGTTCAGGTTAAATATCTACTCAGGCGCCCTCCTTGTATCCTTGGGGGTAGGGAGGAGAGCGCACATTCTGCAGGTTTATCCTTTATTAATGTCACTGCTCCCTGCGTCTGGCTCTCAGTTTTTCACTGGGTGGAGGGTGAGTCAGGCAGGGTCACGGCGGGGGCGGCGGTCAGCTGTAAGTGAAGGGTTTTTCTCTCTTTCCCCGTCTCTCATCTTACCCTTTCCGTGTTGATTTTATGCTTGTTTGAGTCTGCTGTCTCAGTGACAGTTTTCGGTGGTGTCTTTACGAAGGGCTGGTCTGGGGGAGCCACAGAGGAGGTGCCCCCCCGGGGCCCCCAGACAGGACATCGCCTCCTCCACACTCCCCTGGAAGTGTCCGCGAACTGCCCTCACAGGCAGGGAGTCCAACAGTCGGTCAGCTGTTCCCCGGGGGAAGGAAGGCCGCTACCCACCCGGGCACGGTGCCCTTTAAACAGAAGAACCATGGGGAGCAAAACAGAGTCTTAGTGCTGCAGGCACCGCTCCGGGGGTCCTTGCAGGCCCCGCAGCCTCAGCGCCTGGCCCTGTCCTCAACCGTCCCAGACCAAGGTCGTCGCGGCAGCCTCTCTGACGACGACCCCCGCTTTCAGTGCACGGGCGGGTCTGCTGCGGGGAGACCCGGCTAGGTCTGGGAGAGCGACCCCTGGAGCGGGGCCGGCCTGCCCGGAGCGCGAGCTGCAGGGCAGAAGTCACCCAGCGCAGTCAGGGGCTTCTCCGCGGGCGGGCAAGGGGGGCTCGGCCTGAGATGCTTTCAAAGCACGTCTGTGAAATTTTACCGCAAGGCCACCATTCTTGAGGGAACATAGTTTGGATGAGCTTGTTGAATAAACGTGGAACCAGAGAACTTTAAAGCTGGCCCTCGGGTCCCCTGGCTGCGGGTTTTGTTGGTTGGTCGCCTTTGTCTCCGTTGGGCTGCCCCCCCGAAGGCCCCCGGGTCGGTGCAGTGGACCGGGGCGGCGGGGTGGGTGCGTTGAGGGGGTGGAAGGGGGGACATACGTCTGGAGAGGGTCCTGGAGCTGCACCCATCCCACTCCGGGCAGCGGCGGATAGCGGGCAGGGCGGGGGGGTAGGTGCTCCCAGTGATGCGGGCACCAATCCCAGGTTAGCTCCCTGGTTACCAGGGAACCCTGCGGAAACCTACGGTGGGGGCAGAATCCTAGCTGGGCCTGGGGCAGGGTGTTGGCACGGATGGTTGAGAGGGGAGGTGGTCAGGTGAGGAGGACGTGGCGAGGCGGGCCTGGGAGGAGAAGAGCAGCCCTCTCGAGGCGCTGACCATGCGCCTCCCCTAAAGCCTCGGCCGTTTCTCCAGGACCATCGCAGAAATGGGCAGGCACCCCAAGCTCAAGAATTGCCCAGGGAGGAGGGCTTAGGTGCTGGAGGTGAGGTTGGGGGTCTCCCCCCCTCCCAGGCGCATTCAGGACCCCAGTGCCGGGAGACGGATACACACGCAGAACGGCCGGACCGAGCGCGGAACAAACGGCACCCCTGTGGCCCGCAGAGCGGGCGCCCGGGGAGCCTCTTCCTGATCAGGCACCCGCTTCCCGCTCAGAACCCAGCAGAGACACCCAAACGTGCTTCGGTTGACCTCTGCCATCTAGGCCCCAAGGTGCAGGGGGGAGGTGGCCGCGGCCTGACCCCGCCCTCACCCCACACCAGGCAGCAGTGAGTCGGGACGACCTCACGGTGTCCCTCCGGGTGGGTCTCGCGGGCGGCCGTCTTCACTGCAGGCCCGAAGTGGGGAGCGCCCCTCACAGGCCCCCCGGGGCCCCACACCCGCGACAGGGGCTCTCTGCTTGACCGAAGGGGCCACCCGCCGGCCTCGTGCCCCGCCCTACACTCTCAGTGGGGACCACGGTCGGGCGCCGGGTCCTCGGGGACTTTCCAGGCCCTGTCGCTCCTGAGACGCAGGTTCCAGGGGAGGAGGTTGGACGGGCCTGAAGAGGTTGCACTGCCAGCCTCCTGTGAGCGGGGCTGGGCGTCTGGGAGCAGGCAAGGAGTGAGGTGTCTCCTGATACAGCGGATCTTTTAACCCAAAAACCAAAGGGTAGGTGTCAAAATTTCAAGAGCATTTCCTGGCTTACTGTCCCCCTATTACTTTTGGTTTCCAGTGAACAAGAAATTATTAAACCAAGTAGTGTTATGTACATGCAGGGTCCAAGCTGAATTTGAAGCACTCATAGCCAAGACTAAAATGTTAGGGTGCAAACTTACTGACTCATGAGCCCGACAGTGCAGGCATGGTGTATAGACTGCTGTCACGTGTTACAGAAAAAACAGTGATATAGATAAGAAGCTTGAGGGATTGAAATCCATTATTAGCTTTGGAAGAAAAATATTTCCAATTTCGTTTTAATACCACTCAAATTCTTCCAGTGTTCCTAATATGACTTCATCTTTGTGGTTCAGGGTTTAAAGTCTAATTCAGCCCAAAGACTTTACAAAAATGGCACTGTTTTTATGATTCAGTCCCTCAAGTAATACATGATTCTTTGCTGGTAAAAGTTCAGCATAATTCCCATATAAAAATTGCACTCATTGGTGTGCCAGGTTATTCAAAACTGATGGTAAATTCAGAGTAAGTCAGGATATTATTAACCACAGGGTCTGAAGTTTTGATTTGTTCTAAACATTTCAAAAGTTCTGCTTTTCTGAATTTTAGTCAAATTAACATGCCTATAAAATTGATTTTTCTTCCAAAGATGAAAAATTCTCCGCCTGACCCTCAACTCAAGGGAGAAAATGTGACTTAACCCCTCTCTACAGAAGACAGTTTCTAGAATATTCAGTTATATAAGCTCACTTGTTTTCTCAACAGTTCTGACACTTGCAACTGATACAGACTGGGGGCGGGGGGTGGGGGCGGGGCGCAGGGCGGAGGGAGACAAAATAGGCATTTGGAAAACAAGTCCCCCAGTTGCTGTTTGTAAAAGCTGCCATTTCTGGACTCGTGTGCGCCTTCTTCAGCAACCACAGTGAGAGATGCTAGAAATCTGAACCCCTGTCTCGAGCTGTGAGTGAGCTCTCCTGAGAAAGGAGAGGAACCAACTTTCTTTGCTCATGTGGTTCCAGCCACTCACCATGCCAGCAGCCTGGGATGAAGCCTGAATTGGCACCGAGAACCGAGCAAATTTCTCCTGCTGAGCTGGTGTGGACGCTTGCTCGTGTCTTAACAAGCGCCGTTTTGTCGGGCCCAGAAGCTCCGTAAGGAGAATCAGCAGTGTGTGCCCGGAAGCAGCGCTGTCTGCTTGAAGCTGCCGTCTTAAAAGGCAGCTGCTCATCAGGGCCTACATTATAAAGGGTTTACGCAGGAGGTACAAGAAAATCACACTTATTCCAGGTATTAAACCAGGAGGAAATTCACAGTGATCGATGTTTGTGTCTGGGTTACAGGGACCCCCCTCCCCAACGTGCAGTTCCCGCCCCCCGAAGTGGAGATGGGGACCACGGGCACGTGGACGATGACTGGGCCGGGGTAGGGGGACAGGTTACAGCGACTCAGCCGAGGACCAGAGCTGATCAGAGGAAGCAGACAGCCCCTGCCTGCTGGGAAGTTTTCTGCGGGAAAAGTGTGTGCCCTATTGTTCTTTGTGTTATGATACAACGGGCTTTTTTTTCCTAACAACCTAAGAACGTGTACTGTAGAACTCTAAGTTGATCTCTTGGCTCCAGTCTCTTTGATTTGGGATGACTTCTGAGGGAGTGACAGCCAGGTTTTGACTCTTCGTTCTGGGTAAACTCGGGGCTGTTTTCCTTGGCACCCGGGGACCTCACCTGTCCCAACTCCTGAGGAAGCCAAAGCCCTCTGGGTGTCCTTGGCAGAATGAGCCTTTGAGCTGAAATTCTACGTGTAACGCATCCTGTCAAGGTGGAAAGAAAAGCTTTGAAAAGCTGAATCCACAGACGTGTGTTAAGTAAACGGCGGATGGTTGTTCATCCGTGAGTCCCCGGAAGGCGGATGCCATGCAGGAACGTCAAGAATGGCATCCGTGTCAAACTGGGGTCGAAGAGTTTAAGAAAATAAATCACACTTTTTAAAATCGGGGTATAGTTGCTTTACAATGTTGTACCACAAAGTGAATTAGCTATGTGTACACAGAGAAAAGACAACTGTCAGAATGGGAGAAAATATTTTCATATAAAGCAGCTGACAAGGGATTAATCTCTAAAATATACAAACAGCTCATGAAGCTCAATACAAAAAAAACCAAACAACCTCATCAAAAAATGGGCAGAAGAACTAAACAGACGTTTTTCCAAAGAAGACACATAGATGGCCAAGAGGCTCATGAAAAGATGCCCAAAATCACATTTTTAAACAAAAGCATTAGTAATAGTGTCTTTTTTGACAGTGTTCCTATCGCATCACTGAGCTTTTATATCCTTCGTGACAGAACAGGGAAAACAGTGAACATAATCACGGATTATACAGACAGATTCGGCTCTGGGGTGACCCTCGCTGCGCGTCTGAACTGGGCTCCTATCTCTGCAAGGTGGTAACGGCGTCCCCATGGAGGCGGGAATGTGGTCCTGGGATGCAGGCGGCTCAGAATCCAGAAGGTTCTTGGCACAAGTCTCGTGTCTGAGGTCTCAGCAGTGCTGGCCTGGCGGCTGGACACGGCTCTGGCCTGCAGGCTCACGTTCTGTGGTGGAGATGGGTGTGAAACCCACAACCCGCAGCTGTTTATTCAGTAACTTACTAAACAGACGGCTCTCAGTGATACGTGACAGCAAAGGGAAGGACCGGGAGATCTGACTGGGCAGGGGCTGAGACTGAAGGCAACCCTGGGGTCAGGCCCGGCGGGGGCAGAGACCCCCCGGAATGGGAGCGGGGGAGAGGCCACGTGAACCTGTGCAGGGGTCCCAGTCCAGTGGCTGCCACAGACAGACACGCGGACAGTTAGCAAGGGGCTTGGGTAGGCCTGATGGCAGACGGGGGGGCGGGGGAGGGGGACACTGGGAACCCAGCAGGAATTCAGGCAGTGATGTGTCCCACTGGTCCTGCCTCATCTGGACGCCTGCACCCAAGGGCCATCCCAGCACTTCCCCTTCCAGAGGGGAGGTTTTGACCCATGATCTCCGAGTCAGCTCTGCTGGGGGGGCCCTTGGTTCTCCCCCACAGAAGGAGACCAGCTGCACCCCTTTGAGGCCACCAGCCCCCCACCGTCCCTGGGGCTACCTCAGTCCCTCCCGGCCATCCCCCGTCCAGACTCCCTCGGCCACCTCCTGCCCAGCGCGTTCCCCCAGCCTGGTCCTCACCTGTGAACCTCCAGGGGGTCCCCTCCTCTGACTGGATGAAGCCTGAGTCCAGGACGGGCTCCCAGGCCGTCTATAATCTGGGATCATCTCTGTTGCCCGCCCACCAACCCTGTCCCCACTTAAAAGTCGCTCAGTCGTGTCCTACTCTGCGACCCCATGGACTGTACAGAATTCCATGTACACATGGAATTCTCCAGGCCAGAATCCTGGAGTAGGTAACCATTCCCTTCCCCAGGGGATTTTCCCAACCCAGGGATCGAACCCTGGGTTCGATCATCTGTAATTTATTGTTTAATAACATTTTCCCATGATGTTAAATTGAACTTTGAGTAATCAAATGTGTAGGAGACCTAACTTTTTAAAGTAACATCCATGTCCTCAGTGAGCTGAGTGCGCTGTCAGCGTGCCATCCAGGCTCCCTTCTCCAGGGACGAGAAAGGTCGGGAGATGGTGCCCCCAGCCCCGGGGCCCTGGGACAGGGCAGACGGTACCTTGAGGCGTTGCGGCACTGTGACCAGAAGCCCCGCTCTTTTCCGTGCCCACATTTCAAGTACTAATCTGCTTTTCTGGCTTAGCTTGAAAAAATTAAGTTTGATCTTATTAAGAGAAAAGAATGGTGTGAGGGTGTTGGCTGTTTCTTCGCGCTATAATTAAAGACGTCCTGGGATCACAGGCAGTTAGATGGAAAGTGATGTTTACAGGCTTAAGGGCTTAAAAACAAATTTCCTGGAGGCGACCGTCTGTGAACACACCTCCTCCTTAGCGGGATCCAGTGAGAGGAGAAAACTGTAATTACGCTGCACCCTGGTCAGGCTGAATCCAGCGAGGGGCACCCCCCTGCTGTGGGAGGCTCCGCTGAAGCATTGAGAGCAGGACGGAGAACCTCCAGGAAAATAAACATGTTTCCACGTGTGAAGAGAGAGAATCGGGGGGCGGGGGGGTGGAGGAGTCATCACTCTAGCTCCCCGAAGTCCTCCCAGGACAGCGCAGCTCGCCCTGGGGTGAGGGAGGCGCTATGGGGCCACCCACCCCCATGCCGGGGGCAGTGCTGAGGCCCGGGGTAAGGCTGGGGGGCCAGGGCAATGCTGGAGGGTCAGGGATGCTGGCAGGGGGCCGGGGGTGGTGATGGGGGCCGGGGAACCGCTGAGAGTCTGGGGGCGATGCTGAGAGGACAGGGGATGATGTTGGGGGGCCAGGGGCCAAAGGCTCACCAAGTCTCACTGCCTGCCCTGGAGATCCAGGCTGCTCCAAAGCTTCACCTCAACTGGGGAGGGGGAGGGGGCGCCTCAAGTGGGAAAGGAGACACGCATGTGTCTCACCCTCAAACACAAAGCCGAGAGGCAGCTTTCTCTCCTGGGACAAGGCGCAGCAGCCGGCAGACTTCAGAAGGCTGGCTCCCATGCCAAGGAGAGCAGCTCTGGGGCTGTGCTGGGGACTGAACTCAGCCACCCCTGTGCTGGGCACCCGTAACACACTCCCAGAGACCCTGAATCTCAGGGACACTCCTGCCCGTCCATCCTGTCTCCAGGACAGTCAAGACTGAGATCTCACAGCCTCTCCAGGGGCGTCTCCAGCACTAATCATGTCCATAGATGGACACCTGATTCCATTCATCCCGGCATCCCTGACCCCCACCCCTCCTTCAGCTTTGGCTTCTGTGGGAGAGACCCCAGGACCTCCACATGGGGCGAGGAGCCACACCGCTCCCTCTGTCCACAGGCCCCAGGGTTTCAGCCTCAGAGTGTTTCCTCAAAGTCTCTGCATCCTGATTTGTCTCCAGGCCTGATCCTCGAGCCGTGGGGTCCACATTGGGGCCACGGGCAGGTTCCTTGAGGCGTGGGGTCCACCTCGGGGCCACGGGCAGGTTCCTTGAGGCGTGGGGTCCACCTCGGAGCCACGGGCAAGTTCGGGCGCAGAAGCCTACACACAGCGGTGTTCACACGACATCACAGGGTTTAAAGCAGCGCCTTAAACAAACCGTCTCTAACACGTCCGCATTCGCCCTCATCCTGGCCGCAGGGTTCGACCCCCGGGAGCCTGGACCCAGGCAGGTGTGGCTCGGGGACAGTTCCAGCGCTGCAAGCAGGGGGCTTGGAGCTGATACCACCCTCTGAGCTGCGTGCCCAGCTCCAGTAAGGCTACTATGATAATAGCACTGTCTCGTGGAGCAGGCACGTGCCAGTCAAGTACACTCAATACACGTTGGTAGCTTTATGCCTAGCGTTCACTGGGCACCTACTGCTGAAAAAATGCGGAATGCCTCGAAGTGAAAGTCGCTCAGTCAAGCCTGACTCTTTGCGACCCCATGGACTCTAATGTCCACGGAATTCTCCAGGCCAGAATCCTGGAGTGGGTAGCCTTTCCACTCTCCAGGGGATCTTCCAAACCCAGGGATCAAACCCAGGTCTCCTGCACTGCAGGAAGACTCTTTACCAGCTGCGCCACCAGGGAAGCCCATGGCAAATGCCACCTCCCCAGTGAAGCCTTTTATGACACGACCTCCCAGACTGCCAGGAGCCGGACCCTGGCTCCCCACCCCCACAGCCCCACCTCTTAATGGCCGGTGCCATCACCAGCCTCAGTCATGGCTCCAGCCCCGGGCCTCCGAGTCCACACCCACCCTCCTCCTGCGCCTCTGAACGCAGGCTTACTGAGCAGCCACCCCCGCTCACAGCACGCTGGGCGCTGAATACCAGGACGGGTGAAGACTTGGAAGCGGGTGGACAGGCACCAAACAGACTGACCCCACTGTCAGGACACACACAGCAGACGCTGTGGAGGTCACAGGCCGGGTGCGAAGCCCAGAGGAGGGAGGGGGGAGACAGACTGAGTGGGGCCCCCAGACGGCACGGCAACGGTGCCCACGAGCGTGCCACAGCGAAGCCTGGGGCGAGCCCTGCCTTCCTGAGCCTTGGAGCCACCAGCCCCCCACGCCACAACCCCCCCTCCCAAATCTACACACGTCCACAGGTCTGTGGGGCCATCTGCGCCCATGGACGGGGTCCCAACTCCACCCTGGGCCCCTGGCTCAGAGAACCTCACGGTCCAGGCTCTGGTCCCTGCCCCCGTGTGTCCAACAGCTGGCCGGACCCTCTCCAGTGGGGTCTGAGGGGCCTGGGGAGGGGTCTTTACTTTTCCTCACCATCTGCATGTAACCACACCGCCACCCTGACTTCCCGGTCTCCTGAAGGCTGAGTTCGGTGCTCATGGGGAGCACATGTGCCTTGATTCCTGGACACGACCCCGCTCGGAGGACACGCCTGGACATCTGCATCCACCTGCAGCGCCCTGTGGATGGGCCCCCAGCAGAAACCTGCCCCGGCCTCGGCGACCCTGAAGGTGACTGAGCACAAAGAAGGCCGCGGAAGAGCAGCTCAGGATTCCCCGCAGAGCGCGGCCTCCCCGCCTCTCCCCGCCCAAACACGCACACCTGCTCACAGACCCCTCGGACCCCTTCCCAGACCCTCAGACCCCTCAGGCCCCTCAGACCCCTCAGACCCCTTCCCAGACCCTCAAACCCCTCAGACCCCTCCCCAGGCCCTCAGACCCCTCAGACCCCTCAGGCCCCTCAGACCCCTCAGACCCCTCAGACCCCTCAGACCCTCAGGCCCCTCAGACCCCTCAGGCCCCTCCCCAGACCCTCAGACCCTCAGGCCCTCAGGCCCCTCCCCAACCCCTCTGGCCTCTCTCTGACCCCCATCTCGGTGGCAGGGGTGCGGCCCAGGTGACTGAGAGGTGAGAGGGTGGACCCGACACGGGGGCCCTGAGGTCTGTGGCCCCCAGGGGAGCAGGCCTTCCTTACATGTCTCTGGGGAGCGTGGGAACCGGGGTTGGACTCACATCTTAGCAGGGGTCTGTCTTGGGGTGTGTGTGGGACCCCTCATGCTAATTCTGGGGGCTCTTTCCCCACAGATGCCCAACGAGTGGGTGGCCTTTGAGAGCAAATCCCCTGCACCCCAGCCTTGTCCAGGCGAGCGCTCCTCCAGGTGGCGGCCTGGTCTCAGGGCAGCCCTGGCCGGCATGGTCCAGCACGGAGCTGAGGACGTGGCTTCAGTTGAACGCGTCTGTGGTGGAGAAACAGGCGATGAGCCTGGACAGTATGTCCTCCCACAATCCAGCTGGACGGCCGTCTCTGTGACACTGGGGCTTCACTCCTGAGTCACAGACGAGAAAGTCACCAGGGTCTGGGGTCAGAACAGTGCTTGGAACAGAGTCAGACATGACCCAGGATGGAGCAACCTTTCCGAGGGCCCAGACTGTCCAGGATGCTATCTGAAAGAGCGTGGCGATGCTTCCACTGGGGGCTGTTGATGGCGGCGAAGTTCTGGCATGAGGAAGTGACAGCTGGGACCACACAGAGGACGGGAGCTTTGGCTCCTTTCTGGGAGGAGCCTGGCTGCGCGTTCAAGGACAGACCTTCCAGCTCACATCTGCCCACTGCCAGGGCCCCCTGCCCCGGCTCAGGGCAGCAACGGGTCCAAATGCCCAGAGAATGTCAGCCCAACAAAGTATGTTTTCCATTGAAGATAGACATCTTTGGTACATTTGGGACAATAATAAAATATTTTAAAGAAAAACAATCTTCTGGGAAAGACCACTAAAGCAACAGTTGATTAGTAATGACAATGTGAGTTCAGGTTAGGGGCACTCCCCGTCTTATGCTGGGGAGGCCCTCTCTCTGCGGTGGAGCCGGCGGTGGGCTGGGACAGCTGCGAAGGACTCCTGAGGGCTCTGTGAGGCCAGGACTCCTTCGTGGGAGGGTGTCACCTGTCGCCGTCTGATCCTGGTGTGACCAGCCAGGCCCCACGTCCACGCGGCTGTTTCCAGACTGGCTCTCGCCTCTGACTTTGCATAGCTTGTCACAGACCGTGTTCGCTCCTCAGAGAAGTCATCCGACAGCCAGCTTGGTTAACAGGGGGAGCCTGGGCACGTGAGATGATTCAGCAGGAAACACGAAGGCAAAATGCTCAGCGAGGTGCGTCTGTCACATTTGGCCCACAGCCCCGAGAAGGCTGAGGGCACCTGAGCACCAAGGCCAGCAGCCTGGAGCTCTGAGCCCTGTCTGAGCAGCTGGCCTGAGCAGGAACGTGGGGCCCCTCGGGCAGGTGCCTAGGGGCTGGCGAGGGTCAGAGAAGGCCTGGGGTCTCTGCTCTCTCGGGAGACAGGGAGGAGACCCCGTGTTTCAGGCCATCTGACTGACGAGGCTGTTTCTCCCGCTGAGACTCCACCTCTGGCTCCCTGACGGTCGGCCCGACTCTGGTGGCCTGAGTTCTCCAGGGTCTGTGCTGAGGTCCCCCCGAGGCGCTGGCGCCGCTCCCAAGCCGGGCTGCAGGGACTGGAGGCGGCCGCCGTCTTGCCTGTATCTAGTGAACACTCGGCCGCTTTTCATCCTGACCTGGTCTCTCCTGGCCATCCCTCCCATTGTTCTCTGCTCTCCCCCTCCTGTCGGCCTCTCAGGTCCAGCTGCACCCAGGATATGAACAAAAACAGTGACCCAGATCCTGATGAAGGCTTTCCCGGGGGCCACAGGCCACGCCAGCGACGCAGGGGCAGATTCGAGGCTGTGATGGGCAGAGACGCTCTAGGGCAGCTAAAAGCCTCTGCTCACAGCTTCCTGGCCCAGCTCCCCCGCCCCGGGGTCCCAGGGCCGCAGCCCCTCTGCCCATATTCAGGATACCTCCTCCCCTTCTCTAGCATTTGGTAGTGCTAGCCACGCACTCCTGGCCACTCTGGGGGGGTCAGACGCGCACAGTCCCCTCCTCTTCCTCCCGTCATGAACTGTGTGGTCTGGGCAGTTGTCTGTCCCCTCGTCGGTTGAACGGCTCTGACCTCGTGCAGCTCCGTGAGGACCACACAGGTGATGCCCACACAGCACCGGGCACCTCGCCCCGAGAACGAAGTGTCCTCGTCAGCATCTCCCTCCGTGTGGCCCACGGAGCGAGGCCTGCTGGTCTCGTCTTGTGCGTCCAGGCAGCGCAGGGCTCGTGGGAAGCCTTTGTCTGCAGAACTGCAGTGTTTCCAGCCCATTCCTGAGCCCCAAGCCATCTACCCAGCGGCTTCCCGGGCATCTTCACCTGGCCGCCCCAGGAGCAGGCCCACCAGGGTGCCCACACTGGCGACCAGCATCTCCCGGCCTCCCTGTCTCTCTCCTGTAGTTTTCACCTTACGAACGGACACAAGTCCCCCACCTGCCCGAAATGACTTGAAGATTAGCCCAGGGCCTCCCCCTCCTTCTGTCTCCAAAGGACTTGGGCTCTGCCCAAGACATTTCCCTGGTTCCGCCCTATTTCCTCTTCCCTCCGAACCACAGCCCAGCAGAAGTCATAGGAGCTGAGGGGAGCAGGGGTCTGGCACTCGGAGTGTCTCCCGAGCCTCGATTCCCGCCCCAGCCCAGCAATGCCTGCTGTCCTCAGCGGCCCCTGCTCCCTGCTCGTGCCCACAGAGGCCCTGTGAGTGACGCAGCTTCCAAGACGCCCTTGCTCTGCGCTCGGGGCCGCCCACCAGGGTCAGCGCCCACGTCCAAAGCCGCCTTGGACTGTGTCCTGCCGGGCATCCCTGCCCCCGATGCTTCAGCTGGAACTGACCCAAAGTGAGAGGAAATCAATTGCAAGTTTGAGGGGCCACCGACCAATTTCCAGCAGACTTTTAGCTGTTGATTTATTTTTGACTAATTACTGTTATGGGGACAGATGAAAAGACATATTTATCATAAACAGCCACCATCAGGGGCAGGACAAAACCCAGGCCAAATGATCAAAATTTAATAATAGAGCATGAATTTATGTACACAGACTTTATCTCATTTGATCTTTACTGGCACCAAATGAGCTCAAAAACGTATTATTAGTCACAAAAGGGCACACAGAACAGGATTCCATTTGTGTGAAATCTGCAGAACCGGCAGATCCACAGAGAGAGAAGGTCTGTGGTTCCCGAGGCAGGGTGGGCGGGAAGGGTGACAGCCGGCGGGCGTGGGGGTGCAAAGGTCCTGAAATTGACGGGCTGGGCGTTGTGATCACACTCAGCACCCCTGAGGTGCACGCTGTAGGTGGAGGCCTGTGCGGCCTCTAAAGGGACACGTGCTGAGCCCGGGGCACCGCCCCGGTCACGCCTGACCCTGACCGAGAGCGTCCTGGGTGCCAGGGCCTCATGCACACCACGTAACTGTCAGACTCCCAGCACCCTACCCTCAGGTAACACCCACACCTTCAGGAGGATCCCGGGGAGACGGAGTGAGGAGTTTGGGAATTTGCCCTGCGTCTCAGAATCGGTGTACCCGCCCCCCCCCGGGCTGTCTCTGGCCTGGCCGCGGCCCCCCCCCGCATCTGGCCTGCTGCCCGTCCTGCTCGGCCACCGGGGGAAACTTGGGATTTCGGAAACTTCTGCATCTGACAGTTTCTCGCAGGAGTCGGCAGTCTAAGTAGCAACAGGAGAATTTTCTTGATTCTTTTTGGGGAGATCTTCCATAATTGGCCCTTTTTTGATACGTGGGCCTTATTTTTCAAATAAGGCAGACGTAGTTTTAAAAGTAAAGTACAATTTGGGAAAATGTTCTCTTTGTGGTGAAAACAGTGAATGGAATATGCCAAGGGAGCATGAAAATTTTTTTTATTTCATTTTAATTCTTTTACAGCATTTCATTGGGATGTGATGGACATACAAAAAACTGCTGAAATTTTAAAGACCTTTTCACGGGGACCAAGTGTCTGAATGGGCACTTTGGACAGGACCAAATGTCCTGCAGGTCTTCAAATAAATTATCTAAGCCTATCAATAAGATAGCAGTGCCTATTTGAGAACTACATGTTATGGGTCTGGGGGGAGTGGGCACCGTGACCTTCCAAGGGATCCACAGGCCCGTGAGGCAGGTCTAGATCCAGAGCACGTCCGTGACCGGGAAGGGGGTGACACTGCTCTGGGCACCCCCACCACCAGGTCGCGTCCTCACCCTGGGGACCTGGGAAAAGAGGGAAGTGACAGGCCGTGGCCTTGGGCAGCCCTGGTGCTGGCTGGCTGGGTCTGGATAAGGCAGGGTGCGGTCCAAGTAGACATCCTTTCCCCTTGCGGTCCCCACATGCACCTCCTTGCCACGGGACCGCATCTGGGCAGGCTCCCTGCTTCTCCTGACCCTTCCAGGTACAGATGCAGCCTCATCCTGGGTCCTGGATGGTTTAGTTCAAGCTGAATAAACTTTCAGTGGGCATCCGACCTCAGCTCATCCCTCCAGCCCCCAGCACCCCCACCCCCTCCAGGGCTGCCTCCGATGTAGTGTCCTCAAAGTGGAGCCTAGGGTCCCTCCAATGTCTGCTCCCCTGGGAGGCAGCACAGGGCATCCAGAG